TCATGACCTGAGCCGAAGGCAGATGCTTAACGACTGAGCCACCCAGGCGCCCTAGTACTTAAGTGTTTTAAATGTTATCAGAACAATGTCACTATATTGATGAAAATTTGGAAAATAGGACACAAAGTCACTCATAGTTATATCACCATTAAACTACTTAACAGCATTATGTTGCTGGACTTTTCCCCTTTGTGTTTGTTATTAAGTAGGTGTCATTCAGTTATGTATATGATATTGTATCTTCTCTCACTTATTTCATAGGTATTTATCCATGTTTTATATCTTTGTAGTCATTTTTAACATTCTGTAATCTAAAACTCCATATTCAGTCCATTCTGTTTTGTAGGTCATTTGACTCTTTCTTTCTTTTCTTTTTTTTTTTTTTAAAGATTTTATTTTTAAATAATCTCCACATCCAACATGGGGCTTGAACTCACGACCCCAAGATCAAGTGTCGCATGTTTCACTGACTGAGCCAGTCAGGGGCCCTGATTATTTGAATCATTTTGTATTAGGATCTTAAGTATCAGGAATGAGGTGAATGCATGTCTAAATACTAACTTACCTTCCACCCAAGCCATTTTTGTTTGGCTTCCTTAGTTTTTGTTGGTATGACAAAGGCCTGGAGTTTACTTTAATGGTATGACCCAGGGCCTTTCCTACTATATCCCAGGCTTCTTTTTCCCTTTCTTTTCTCCTGGTCACTTGAACCTACCCTGTGCTCTGTCATCTGGACAGTTTGCCACATGTTTTTTCTGACCTTTGCTTTGTTCCAGTGAGTGTGTCTTCTGTTTCCATCCTCACTAAAGGGACAGCATTGCACAGACTCTGGAACCAGACTGCCTGAATTATATTCTAGCTCCACTTCCACTACTTGTGTGTCCTTTGGCAAATTAATCAGATGGGAGTAATAATAGAGGTCCACAATCCTTTACCTGCACTCCTTGGGCTGGATGCGTCAGAATTTAGAATTTTGGGGACTCTGAAGAGGTAATATGATGCATATGCCATTTTATGTAATACCTCCAAGATGTGGGCAGCACCTGCAGTGAAAACACGTCCACAGTTTTGCAGCAAAACAAATGAAGTTGTACAACAAGTGGAATTAATAGCCTGCTTCAGTTGAGGTCAGGAATTGCCACCAGATAAATTTCAGCAGCATGCCCAAGAAAAAAAGTCAGCTTGGATTCACCTTTTTGGAATCCAGGATAAGGAATTGAAGGCATTTGGATCTATCTTTCGAGGTTGTTGTGAGGACTGATGGGGTGTGTGTGTACATGTGCCCTGCGGCTGCTGCCACTGCTCTTGTTATCATTACTGTTATTACTAAAATTTTGCCCATTCTTTAAGGCTCATCTCAAACTCCATCTTTCTTTTACTTTCCTGTCCCTCCCAAGGTGATCGTGCTCACTTGCTCTCTCCGTTTCTCTAGTTCTTTCCTTTTCTCTCCTGCCTCCCCCGTCCTCCTCAGCCTCTTGCTTGCTCCTGGTAGTTTGTACCTTTCTTCTGGTGGTTCTGTCTTGTACCTGTAGCTGTTGAATACTCAGTTGTAAGACTGAGGACAAGTCCAAGGCCCTTGAGTTGCACAAATCTGTGGTTATTATCCCTGGGGTTGTGCAGTGCAGCTGCCCTGGCAAGGCCCATCTTATCTATCCTTTTTTTTTTTTTTTTTTTTTTTTTTTAAGATTTTATTTATTTATTTGTGAGAGAGAGAGAGAGTGCACAATCGGGAAGCGGCAGGCAGAGGGAGAAGCAGGCTCCCCGCTGAGCAAGGAGCCCAACGTGGGACTTGATCCTGGGACCTTGGGATCATGACCTGAGCTGAAGGCAGACGCTTAACTGACTGAGCCACCCAGGCGTCCGTCCCAATGGCAAGGAAATTCTAAGAAAACCTGAACTGCTCCCAATACTTACTGCTTTGTGTGTGTGTGACAAAAGCAGTTGCTTAGGCATGCTATATGGAGTGTAAAATGTGTATTCCTGAGAGAGAAAAATTAAATTTAAAATTAAATAAATCTTACTTATTTTTTCCCAAAGAATCAGAGTTGGAAGGGACCTCAGGGACCATCTAGTAGAAGAGTCAACTGTGGCACATGATCATCACCCTTTGCTTGAACACTGCAGTGATTGGTAGACAGCTTGGTTCATGAACTGTTTGATTTTTTTTTTCCCTCCTCAGCTTGCAGAAGGAGCTAATGCTGCATATTTGCAGTTGCTGAATCTGTTTGCCTATGGAACATACCCAGATTACATAGGTGAGTTGGTTAAAATCTTCCAAAGACTTTTCTTAATTATGTCACTCTATTTGGACATACTGACTCCATGAGGATCACTGAGGTCTGGGATAGAAAGCGTGGGGTGGGAACTTTCTGACCTGGCTGTTTCCCACTTTACTGAGCACTGTAGGTGACCTCACATGAGGTCTTTACCTTCTCACCCTTTATTTCTCTGTGGGTAAAAGGGGGACTATGTTTATGCTCATGTGTAAATATGGTCCTTATTTGTTTTACAGATGAGATTCTTGTGGCTTGGTGTTTGTAGAACACTTAGGAATGTTGTGAAGTGTCAGAATACCCAGTTGTAAAGTACTTA